TGGTAGGTTTTCACGACACAGTTCTTTGAACGATGTCATCCGAAGGGCTCTTGTCTCTATAAATGTTCCCTCGGTTTTAGAGCCTTGTGGAATATTTAGAGACGATGGCAGGAGACCCGACGGTATGACATTGGTCCCTTAGGAGAGCGGTAAAGCCCTAGTGTGGGATGCTACTTGCGTAGACACTCTGGCGGTCTCTCATCTCAGGGGTACATCGTTTAGAGCCTGGGCGGCATCAGAGGCAGCTGAACCGAGTAAATGGCGCAAATATGAGTCTCTGAGAGATTACTACATATTTGTGCCACTTGCTGTAGAGTCTACCGGTTCGTGGGGTCCATATGCGGTGAAGTTCCTAAAGGAACTCCATCCGCGTCTGGTCGTTGCTACTAGTGATAAGAGGGCTGGTTCTTTGGCTAGTTCTCTCGCTCAGTGGCTAAGTATAGCCATTCAGCGGGGAAACGCAGCCGGCTTTCTAGGCACGATACCGCGGGGAGTAGAACTATACGATAATTAAGTTTCTAGTTTTAGTTTTTTTATTATTATAGTTTTTAATATATATAAAAAAATAGACATTATAGAAAATTAAAATAACATTTAGAAGTGTAGTTGGGTAGTTTGCTCTATAGTTTACTCTCGTTAGAGTTGAGCTTGAGCTTGAGTGAGAGTTTTGGCTGGAACTTGACCAGCGGCGGTTTGCTGCTCCTGTATTATTGTTTAAATAATGGTTTGAAGTGGACTTTGATTTGTAACAGTGGTGCGATTTTGTGCATTAAGTGTCTGCGCATGTGAACTATTAGTGGAAACTGTGAAACAAGTGCTCTGATGGTGATGTGATTCTTAAAATAAGGTGTCTGTCTGCTTAGGCGCCTTGAGATATCATCGCCAACCGTCAGCTGTCTGCTGGCTCAAGTTGCCGTCAAAATATCCCAAGGGCTGCACAATGTGACGCATCAACATATTGTGAAGCAGTATATTATGAAGGATAATTATTATATAGTCCGGCCGCTGAGTTATTACTGATTTGACACATGACGAATTGACAATACTAGTGAAGTGACTGAACCAGTAACCCTAATATCATTTGGGAACAGTTTGTTTTTAAATATTCTAGTGTAGTGTGTAATTAAATAAAATCAAAACAATAATAGTTAAAGACACAGGTTCTTTATTAGGTGGAGTATCCTTGATGGGCGTAGATAATTGGTCGAGGACATATCAAAATAAAACAAATTTGTAAACACTGTTACACATTTTAATGAATAGAGTAGGTATAAGATGTTTTAATAAATGACTACCTATCATTTATTAAAACAATTATTTTGAACCAGATTCGCCAGAGCTGTCATCGCTATCAGTCACTTGTATGACAATTTCATTCTCTATAATGGTGTCCACTCTTATATCGCGCTTATAATCTTCTTTTATTAGTTTTCGAGTCTTTTCGACGACCTTGACCCAATCTTCTTTCGTTATTTTGCTGCAAGCATCTTTTAATAGACCCATCATTTTATTAGTACTGAATGGCGGAGTCGTATTATTACGAGCTGCGTAACCTGTAATGTAAACATTAAATAACCTTAATTTATTACATTAAATAAACGAAATGTTACACAATTACCTACATGTAAGGGACATGAGATATTTATTTCTTAGTTATGTATCTTTTTACTTATATGCTGAATATTGGATGTTATAATAGTACAAATTATTCATATTCATAACTTATGCGATAAAAAACAATACGTTTGATTTGTGCCCATATTAGCTCAATGGCATTGTACTGGCAGTGATAAGGCGGAATTCGAAGTACCCGATGTCCATGTGCTAGAGCTATCTCATCTACTTCATAACAGACTCTTGATGTTTTATTTTCGCGTACCAACTTTACTAAGTCAGACTTTAGCATTTGGCAGTAGTTTCAATTCCATTTTGGTGTAGCCATGCTACGAGATCAGCTTTCTTGTCGGCCGGCCAACTCAGCGGCCGTACTATAATATATTGTAACTTCAGGCTCAGAAGAGCTAGATCCCAGAGCCGTAAAGCCAGTTATTAAGAAGAAGAAGTTGAGCTTGAGTTTGTTTGTCTATGCGGAGTTACTTCAGAAATGTCAAAATAACTCTCTCAATGCTAAATAACTGTTGTTTTATGGCCTTATTTGCCGAAGTTTCTTAAAAAATGCATTGAGATCGAGTATTTCGCGATTATCATAATCATGTTAATAAAAAAATTTTCATCCGTCGCGTGATATTTCGTCTTTTAACTAAAAATATTCACTAATCCCTCTAGCATCTAAACGTCAAATTGTTTTTATGTTGTTTTGCGTGTTATTTTGTTACAAAACAAGGTTAAAGTAAAAGTTTGTTAGTGAGAATAAGTGAAGTGGTATTATAGTTATGTTTTTAACGAATAAATTTCGTGGTTGTGGTTTTTAAATCATAAGTGATGTGAATTGTGAAGGTTAGTTTTTTGTTCCCGCTTTTACCTTCTTTTGGGATAATTGTTCCCGAATTCTCGCTGCGGTTTGGTGAGTAATAGCAAGTAAGTTCTTTACTGAAGAATTTCCAAATATTAAAAATAGGAAATAATGCTTTCCATGTGCTTAAAATCGTTTGTAAATTTTTGTTTGTAACTTCACTGGCAGGGTTAAAGGCAGATATTTTATAAGAGATGTTCTATGATTTTTAAGGTGAAATTCGTATAAATTTTTATTATCTGTATGTTAATTTTGTAAAAATGTTAGTGAAATGTAATTTTATTGTACTTCTAAAAGAAATTACAGCCTTAGAAGTTCACTATTTCCATCCTTCCAATCTATCATTTTTAGCATAAATTTAATTATATTTTGTTGTTTTTATAGTAAATTAAAATGACTAATCTTTAAGTATTCAGTTTAATTCATATTATATATTATTTATTTTTTTACCTATACTGAAGTAGGTATTTTCATTATAGCCTGCTTTTGCTGTAAAATGTAGATCTGAGTAGCTGTAAATCTAAAAGTGAGATTCATAAGTTCTATGAGAACTCTTCAAATTTGGTAGATACTTGATATTTTGATATTTTTTTATTTCAAAATATTACACTAGGATCTTCTCCTGTATCCCGGATGTCAAACACAACCGAAATAATTATAGGTCAAACAAACACTTGGTCTATGTAGGATTCGAACCTGCAGCTCTTAATGCTGCAACTCATTGCAAAACCACTTGACATGAGCCGTCAACTTATGATGAGGCAACTCAGGATGATTACATTAATATGAATGTATGTATGTGTGCTTTTCTTATGTATAATTTTATAAAATAAAGAAAATTCTTTATTTTATCATCAGTATTATGCCAAATGGAAGTTCCTAATCTTTGCCTACCCCTCTGGGTGACAGGCGTGAGTGTTTATGTATGTATGTATGTATCATCACCTAACATTGGTTAATGATGTCTTCTAAGCAAAGAAAGCAAGGGCTTGCTGTTTAATTTAAGTTTGTGAGAGGTGGAATAGTTGATCAGATTGGATGTACACAAAACATTTAAACATTTGGTGGTGTTACAAAGTAATTGTCCTAGAGGACAGATATCATCTGCTGTAAGCAGTGTGTTAGACTTTAGCTCAAATGTGCTGCTATGTCCCATCCCAGTTCTACTTCTAAATAGAAGTAGGGAAACATGCATTCTGTTGAATTTTAAAATATGTTCTAGGCTATTCTCCAATATGCATTGTGTATGCCATTATCATTGATGTTATGCCCATAACAATTCCTCTGCCGAACATCCTGAGCCACCTTTAACTATAAACTTTCTGCATGTTTTGTTAGGTTGGCACCATATTTAAGGGAGAGTTGCCCAATACTGCACCCACCAGTTATCGGTACAGCTGGATTCTACTAAGGTTTTTTTTTTAAATTTAATAAGGGTAACAAATGGCATAGTCTGCCTGATGTTAAGTGGATGTTGTGGCTCATATACACTTACATCTATCCTTGACTAAGAATCAAAATGTAGATGCTTTGTTAGGCCTGATGACTTAAGATAGAATGCGTTGTTTAATACCACTAGCATAATAATGGTCTCCAATTCTCCACATTCCCCAGATGAAACAAAGTAGCATTAAGCTGCTATTTTACACAAGTGTTATGTAAGAGTGTAAGATCTTCCTTTGTCGAGTCGACCCTATTGTACTGCCACCATAATATGGCCGCAGTGTGCAGCTCTACCACATTAAATTTCTTCCTGATTGGTTGCAACTTCACATTATCATTTACAATTTGTTCACTGCTGAATATTCTTGGTAAGCATGTTAGTATTTAATGGTTAATGTACAAGGTTGAAGATGTATGATACTCAAACTGACAGCAGTGTTGAAGATGCAAGATGTTTGACACTGTCATTGTCAATCAGCCTGCCAAGCCCAACAATTGAAGCTAATCCTCCATACAATGGGAGAGACCCATGCCCAGCTGTGGACTTCTACAGGCTAATAAAGAACAAGAAGGAGATACAAGGTTGAAACTGCTAATTTACTGGCTTATCCATTCAAAACCTAAAATTAACAACATAAATTAGCATGATGGAATCTCTCTAGCACACACTTTAAATTACTATTTATAATGACTGCACTTCTTTCATTATTATATGGTGGATTTTTCTGTTAGCCATGCCATCAATTTCATGTAGGTATATAAGAATAGGATAGTCAAAGGGTCTGGTATCAACAAACCTTGTATTAATTAGTTTGTAGTGTAGCCCTAGTACACAATGCAGTCATTTTATACCATTATCAATTTTTTTGGCTGAATGATTATTTTTTCTGAAACTTTATGTCTCACACTTTACACTTTGCTTCTCATAGCCAGTCAACACCTTTCAAGTGTGGTGATTATTAACACTAGCAACACATTTATGTGATTCTTACATAAGTAGATTTGGGTAGCCCTAGTACACAATGCAGTCATTTTATACCATTATCAAGTTTTTTGGCTGAATGATTATTTATTCTGAAACTTTATGTCTCACACTTTACACTTTGCTTCTCATCACCAGTCAACACCTTTCAAGTGTGGTGATTACTAGCAACACATTTATGTGATTCTTACATAATTAGATTTGTGTAGGTAAGTTTATTTTACATAATATAAGGTCTTGATGGTTCAAATTCAGAAAACAAGATATCTAAATAGAGTACACATACAGCAACAGGCTTGATTATTGGTTTAATGTTTCATTAAAATATTATTAATATTTTCCTTGCCCTAAAATCCCTCTCAGAAATGAGAGGAGGCCTGTGCCCAACAGTGGGACCTATAAAGGCTGTAACTTTAACAAATGTAAAGAAGTAAGATAATTTTTTTTTCATAGGATTCATTGGTATACATATGTATGAATGTTTGCTAAGAATCATTTGAAAAATTCTAATCAATAGAAGAATAGATCAAAAGTCTGTAGTGTTTGATTTGTATTTGGACAATTCATTAAAGCAAATTTGGAAATGCTCTTGGACTTATTAGCATTTGGAAGGATAAAAATAGTTTGTTGCTTATGTGATTGCTAACAAGATATGTCATAGAACATGCTTCTGAGGTTTAAATTCTCAAATGAAACATCTGCCTTTACTATTTGGAAATTTTTCCATTTATTTAATGAAAACTACGGTGCCATTACAATTTTATTTATCAAAATTTTATCGTTTAAAAAAATAATTTACATTGTTTAGGATCTGATTATTTAAAAGTTTATATTGATGTATGTTTTTTTGTAAATAAAAAAGAAACAAAACAAACAAAAGTTATTAATAAAATATTTGACATTGTGGGTGTAATTATTTACCTTTCCTCTTCCCAATCCCATGCACCTTATTTTTTAATTTTGGTTCATGGTTCCTTTTAGTTTTTAATACAAAGAAAGCATGAACCTTTTATTTATTATTATTTATACAATGACCAGCAGTCCTTATGCTATTTTAGTCCCAAAAGTATTTATATAAGATTTAAAATGGCATAAGCAATGGTAAAACTTTAATAAAACATTACAAAAATTGTTTGTGTTTTATTTTTTCAAATACAAGGTTTAATTTTCTGGTTATGCTCATCAGTTCCAGCGCAGTTTATACCAGGGAGGACAGGAGCTGGACTACTCATATTAAATGGGTTTACATTCTATATGAAAAATCATCAGGCACATGGAAAGAAACAGTGGTATTGTTCATCAAGGGATGTTCATGGCTGTCGTGCTGATGTCATAACATATAAAGGCGTGGATGGGAGGGATTACATCTCAATATTTCGTGGGCGCCATATTCATGACCCTCCTCGTTTACGCCAGTGTCATGATGGTAGATTTATAAGGGAAAAAGACTTCTTCAGTCGCCAATCTCTCAAGTGACTATATATGTTTTAGTTTTATTTTTTGGTACTTTATACACAGTGATGACTTATTTTTGTGAAATAATTATGATGTACTTATTAGATTTACGTATTGACATGTCTTTCAAAAGCATGTTTCTACTGTAGGGACCTGCTAGTTTATAGACAAACTGTCAGTTTTTGTAAATATTTTAGAATACAGTATTCTGGTAAAGTAATTGTTTTCATTCCCCGTTTTAATTATAAGTTGTTTTTACAAATGCTCTTTAATATTCAAAAGCATTTTCCGTGTATGTTTTTATAACATTAACAACTTTTGTTGAAATATTCCTTTGCATTTATTTAGTGGGAATTAATTTTTTAATTATTTTTTTGTGTATACTGAACTGTTGGTATATTAAAACTAATCCTAAAAAAATGTACAATTTTGACTAAATTGATAAAATGCGCCATTTAAATTACATATTTTTTGTAACATATGTTGTATTTATTTCATTTCTTTATTACCTACCTTTTATTATTCTTTCTATGTTTTTAGACTTTCTTCATCTAGTTATAAAGTTTTTTGAACTACCCCCAATTCCAACGAAGGGCTTCAACTCTCAACTTTGGCATTGTGGGTAGTTAGCATGTATTTTATTACTGAAATATTTATTATCATTATACTGTTAATTTAAAAAGTGCAGGTAATAAGGTGAAGGTCTTTTTCAGGGATTTACTATCTACCCTCCCACCGTACTGGCAGTATGGTGTTGATATTTAAAGATAACAAATATTGGATCAACAACAGATACCTGAATACAATAAATTGGACTTGCCGCGACCGGAAGAGGTTAGGTTGCAACAGCTGTGTTCAAACCACAGTCGAGGGACGCTATATCAAGCATAAGGGTTTTCATAATCATGCTGATAATTATACGAAGTATAATTTTAATGATTGATGCCAGAGAGACGTATGGCCGGTAATAACTTCTGTTGAAAGTTATAATGAGTAGCTGGCTGTACGATGATTTCATATACTCACACCTTTTATAATTTATATAATTTAGCTGTCTTTGTATATCTGGAATTAATAGCTTGTAACAGACAACCAGCTTGTGTGTACTTACTCAAAAACATATTTCCAATTATAGAAGCATTAGCTTCAACATCCCCTTCATTACTAAAATTCATTAGCCACAAACGTGACAATTTTGTAACTATAGATTAAAATATAAATAGTTTATTACATAAATAATACATTTAGATTTAAAAGACTGTTATATTGGTAATCTTTGGTAAAATATTTACATATTATCCTTATTACACTGCTGGATATAAACTTTATGAAGTATTAACCACCGTTACTGTTACAGCCTATTAAAGTCCACTGCTGAACATAGGCCTCCCCCATAGAATGCGTCTAAGGGGAATACTTTCCCTAGTTGCCACACTTGGCAAGCTGGCTGGCAACTGCAATTTTTCATTTTAGCTGTTATTAGGAAGATGCTACTGCCCATCTCCTGATTTGTTTTTCTTTGTCGCCTCTTACGACTTCCATGGGATGATATGGGGTGGTAAATATTTTTTCACCGCCACCATTATTATTCAATCTAGCAATTATTTGGAAGATTGAAAAATAAATATATTTGCCGGAGAATATTGAAATACTTTGTGCTAATTAATAAGCAAATAATGAAATATTTTAAAATGCCTTTTTTGATTTCTCTCATGAATGATGATAATCCTGCACAGTCATTTAAAAAAAACCATTCACTGCCATGTTTTAAGACTACTTTTTGATCAGTTTTATAACTTATGCAGCTATTTAATGACTAAAATATCAAAATTAAAAGTATATTTCATTTTCAATAAAACACTGACCGACAGAAATTTGCCCTTGACTTGCAAAATTGTTTACAATACTTAAAAGGTCCTTTGGTTTGGCTTTTGGCTTTTTGTTTGAAATAAATTCTTGTACATAATGCGTATTCTTTAGTCATATGTAATAAGTATAATATAATTAATTTTAGTTACTTCTGTCATATACAAACATTGAGAAAAGATTTAAATGTGTGTCTACTGAGCTATTTAGCGTATTTATCACTTTCATACTGACATTGGCGAATGCATCAAAACAGTTACCCTGAAAAAGGAAGAAAAGACTTCAAAGAAGAAGGCTGAAATCACATTTATCATTATCAAATTACATTAAGCATAATATTAGAGTCACACATATGCACATCATGTTTTTTTTTAAACATTACCACACACCAGAATTTTCTCCTGCATTGTGGAGGCAATTTACAAACATAAATTGCACAAGGAGAAACTTCCAGACCCATAACAATTATTTGTAGGCCAAACAAATACTTGTTCCGTGAGTGATTTGAACCCGTGGCCCCAAGCGCTGCAACTCTTTGCTAAGCCACTGCGCCACAGAGCCGTCAAATGTTTTTTTTATGGAAGAGAAAGTAAACAAGCATACGGCACACTTGATGGTAGGTGATCACCGTCGCCCATGAGCAACTGCAACATCAGGGGAATTGAAGGTGTGTTGTTGGCCTTTTAGAAAAGAGTAGGCTCTTTTTTTTAAAGTCCTTAAGTCATATTGATCCAGAAAAATTGCCGGTGACAGTAAAATCCACTGTGTGGTCATGCCAGGCAGAAAATTCAGTTTAAATCGCATGATAGTTGACTGCCAACCATTGAGATGACGAGGATGGAATTTAGAGTTCTGTTTCAGTGTATGATGGTTGAATTTAGCAGCAATGTGTTAGTAATCTGTGATATGCCAAGATTTCAGTCTTTCTAACTTACATTTTGGAACATAATATTTTCTCTTTCAAACTCGTTACAAATTTTTAAGTTATATAATATAACCATAATGTTTAATATACTCAATAATTGGTGAACTTATAATACACACTAGAACGAAAATTATGTAGGTAGTACAAATTCCTGTTGTGCTATTGTATCAGATCAGTTGCAATTAGCTGTGTTAAAATTTGATCTCTTGTCTAAGCATGTATACACATGTTTTGCTTATGTGTAAGCTACATTTTTAAAGATGTAAATCAATGATACAACTACATACATTTTCAAAAGAAGAAAGCTGAATCCTTAAGAAGAGTATTGATGTATTAGCATCTTCATACAAAATAGCCTATTTCCATAGACAAATTTGTGTATTGATGCTGAAAAATATGATTTCACCCTAAGTTTTTTGTGAAGTGTACACAAAAAAGTCCACATTGCATGAACATAGACTGTATAAGTGCCCAAAATGTGAAGAAAAAAAAAGAATTTGAACTTAAAGATTTATATTAGTAAAACATTCTGTATATGATATTTAGTTATAAACCTTAAAGAGTTAAAAAGGCCAAGAGAAATACTAAAAAAGCTGTCATAGTTTACTCAGTCTGCAAAGAATATATAATAGGTACTTAATTTAAACTGTACATACAGGGTCGTAAGATTCAAGATAGCTCTGTTAATAGGATTGCTAACCAAAAAGGTTACGAGCCATTGGTCTTAGGAGTAAAGCATGTGGTTGAGTGATTCTCGCGTTAATTTATCGTGGCAAATATTGCCGTCTCTATACTTTTAATTTAGAAAATAACCTTCACCCACCTGTGGATCACTTACAGTATGACGACAATGATAAAGGTTTAGATAATATGTATTTGTTTTAGGAGGTAGATATTTTAAATTTATTATTACAATTAGGATTATTCATTAAAAATATTTTCTGGACTTTCTTCTTAATTCTTAAATATCAGGCCTGTTGCCATGAAATGCTAGTAATGGTACTCACGCATGCTGGAAGCAGTTGCCAATACAGGTTGTGGTGTCTTTAGATGCTTCACTTTTTAGACGTTGTTAATTTTAAGTTGCATATTATAGGTCAGTTAAATATATGATAATTATTCCATTGCCAGTAAAGGTTATTTATAAAGTTTTTCTGTATTTCCTCATTCCATGTTAAAATTGTTCATTGGACAACAACATAACATTTTATTTGTAAGAAATACTTGAATAAAATAATAATATCCTACTTAATTATTCCAATTAATATAATTACTTAATATAATGTAAAAAGTATAGTGCTGTGAAATTACTAATTACTCAATAGATGTAAGATTATTGACTTAAAAAATAATTTTTAAGTTAGTTTATATAAAAAAATATGAAATTCTTGCATATTAGAGTTAAGTAGTAGTTGTTTTTAATTTTTAGCACTGTTATAAATTAACTTAATGGGTATAATAAGTGATCATACACTGCTATCGAGTTGTCATATGTATATGATGATCTACAATAACATAGTTTTCTCATATTTCTATGAATATTATTATATCTATAACCATATTCATATGATAATGCAATAGCAGCTTTAGATAATCATATGTTTGATTCACAAGTATGAGAAAACTATGACAGTTAAGTTTGTACATCTCTCTTATATAGGTACAAACTACACTGTCATAGTTTTGTCATATATTTATGAACCTTAAATCTATGACATTATACATATTATGATAATGTAATAGCGGCCTTAGAAATATCCAATATAATTATTTTTGTCAATTTTTATGTATATGTATATGTATAGTTATTGGTATTATAAATGAAATGTTCAATTCAGTATACTGATATCAATTTGTCTACTAATTTTCCGGAGGACTAAAAAATTTAGATACAACTTATAACAAAATAAAATTCTAAAATGGTGACAAATAAGTTGTAATAAATTCATAATTAATGTTATATATCATTGCCTCCTTTGCATATATAGGATTGGGCCAAAAATATTTTAGCGAAGGCGCCCGCCCGACATATAACTAAAGATAGAATAAAACGTAAAATTGTTTATCGTGTATTGTATAAATAAAAGAAAAAATAATTAAAAAAAATAGTAAACAACTTGTATGGATGTAGATTTTGTTCGTATCAATTCGCCGATAGATGGCGATAGTTGCTTCTTAGAAGTTTATCATATAAATTGATTAATCATTATAAACTCATCTTGATACTTTTTAATACGATATAGGTAGTTAATAATATTTAAAAATAAGCTACGTACGTAATATTTTTGTTTGGTTGTTTTTGCTCAACATGTTATAATATTAGGTTTGGGATTTAAAGTATTCGGAATTTGTTTTTGTCTGAATTTAACCTAGTCAACTATAATATTATATTTATTTCTTCGTACTTGTGCCAAATGCTATACTTAACTTGGTTTTAGGTTATTGCTTTGTATCGATATTCCTTTGTTGTAGAATTGGAGGTTTTTTCAAGTGCACGTGTTGTTTCATTCCTAATTAAAGACATACCATTTAACGGCGTTCAATTATTTTTATTGTAGAAAACACGAAAAAAATAATATATAATTTATGAGTCTTGTGATTCGTATTGAATTTGATAAAGAAAACTTCCTAAGGAAGCCTAAAAGTTTAAGATTCATCCCTCTCCCTTCCACCATCAGACAAACAGACGCTAGGCCACTCCACCCCTTCGTTGTCGACTTACCACGCGTTCGAACCAAAAGTTTTGCTTCATCGTTCGCGTTAGTCATGCGCACTGCTAAGAAGTGGAATAAGTTGCCAACATCTGTCTTTCCATCCGATTACGATGTTGGTGTCTTCAAGACAAGAGTAAATGGGCTTTTGTTAAGTAAAGTGAGCTTTACCACCTTCGGCTGCGTTACCACTTACCATTAGGTGGGATAATCAACTTTAGAATAGTTAAAAAAAAACCGGCCAAGTGCGAGTCGGACTCGCGCATCGAGGGTTCCGAACAAATCAGTAGGTATATAAGTTAAAAATTTTTAAAAATATTTTTATTATATGATGTAACAAAAAATTTATGCTTTTCGCAATTTTTCCTTTATCTGTGCTGTAATACGTTGCTTCGTACCAAATTTTAAGATTCTGAGTTCACGGGAAGTACCCTGTAGGTTTTGATTCCCTTGCGAATGTCGAAAATTTGCGGATAAACGGCTGTATCTTTTAATTGCGTTGGCTTAGAAGTTTGATTTTTTCACAGCTCCAAGGGACAGTAGACTTGAGTATTTGATATGAATTTCAGCTTGATACCTCGACGGGTTCCTGAGAAAAAGGGACTTGACAGACAGACAGACAGACAGACGGACAACAAAGTGATCCTATAAGGGTTCCGTTTTTACCTTTTGAGGTACGGAACCCTAAAAAGAAAGAAAATGTTTTAAGGAAATGTCAAGTCCTCCAACATCAAAATAGCGTGAAGGGCTTTTACCACCCACCAGCTACCAGCACTAACTAATACCCTCTCCAAAAGTTGGTAATGGATCCTTACTGTCGAATGTTTGCAGACCTTCAATCGTTTTTATTTTAGATATTTTACCAGATGTAAATACGTATTCAGTATTTAATAGTTTGTTTTTAAATTACTACTTTTTTTCTACCTGGTGGTAATTGATGAATATAAAATCTTTCATCGAATCGGGACAAGGAAATGTTTGACCGGCCAACGTTTTTCCTTGTTTTCCATGGGCGACTGGCAGTAAGTCCGACCCTTTATTTTAAGGTGTTTACATAAAATAAATTTTAGCTTAAATATGCCTCAGAAAAATGTAGTGAAGATCAAGGAAAGAATATTGTTGGACTTGGTAATGAAGTTCTAGGTTTTACTTCTATCAGTTTAAAGATATTGCCATAATCGCATGCCTCTCAAATTAAACGCGTCTTTGTTATTGAATTTTATAGGCATAACAAGCTTGGAGATGACAATATCGTTAACTGTTAGTTATTTCTTATGGTCTGAAAAGTGCCGTTTTGTCTATCACTGATTTACTGACATACGCATCGAAAACCTAAACCACTTCTAGGTTAGGAATAAAACTAACTTTACGGATTTTTAATTAGAAACGTCGGGAATGAAAAAAAGTTAAAATTAAACGCGATAAAATCCGTAAAATTAGTTTTATTCAATGTGTAATATTCGCGTAAATAGAAGAAATCACTTCTAGGTTATTAAGAAATTTCAAATTTGGCAGCAACGTAGATTATTAAGCATAGATAAAGAAAAAATAAGTTGAGACATACAAATTATTGATATTCGGTGTCGAAAAAAAATTATTGGGGCGGTAAGAACTTTGTAAGTAGCGGTAAGAAGAAAACAGATGAATTTGAAACGTTTAAGTGGATTTAAAATAAATTTTGTTGCGTTCTTTGATATTGAATTTGTAACTTGGCGAGTTGTATATCCAACTAAATTGTAGCATAAGTTAGAACAACTGAAAAACGTAAGTTTGTATTAAATATCATCACGATAAACACAATAAAACTTTATCACATTTATGTTTTTGGCTTCATCTATTATCAAGGAATGCCCTAGACAGAAGTTTATCGGCTAAATTTGAGATATATTGAAGATGGCTAAAATGAAGAGTACCCTTATCCGACGTGCATGCATGCGTAGATATATGGATATGAAAGAAGTGAAAGAAGTGTGTCAGTATCGTGGCACATGGAAGTTTACATTGTAGTACAAACGTGAGAGTTTATTTATATGGGAATCGTTCTACTTGATCCTTAATTTTCCTTTAGGTGAATTATTTAGGAATTTCCCCAAAATTGTTTTTATCGGGAAGCTTGGACCTAACTATACAGGTTGGAGCCAGAAGGGAATTAATATTTCTCATTACTCTTACGGATTTAAAGTCTCATTTAAAATATCTTTTTTTTCCAGTGAATTATGTAAAAACGTCAAACGGAAATTCCCTGGTAATGTTCAGGGATTACACGTACTGCAGGCATTACGCTGTAAGGAACGGTATACGTTGGAAATGCTCCAGGCAGTCCTCAAAGAACTGTAGCGCTTTTCTCCTTATAAGTGACAACGGCGATATCTTGAAGAAGAATGAAGTACACAGTCACGAGCCTTTTCAGTACTATTGCAACAGTGACGGATCATATATGAGAATCTAGTTTATCGATTTCTTGAGATATTGGTCTCGGACCTGTTTTTTAATGAAGAAAAAAATGAGCTACACTAACATCTTATTCGGATTTATGTAGGTAGTTTAAAACGACAAATACATTTTTTGAAAATACAATCGGACATTTCATGTTTTGGTAGTAAAAAATAATCTATTTGTTACATATCGAATTTTATTAATTGAATTGAACTAATGTAATTTTAATGGGAAACGAATTTCAGGTGTGTAGAGTCTATCTGAAAAGGGGTCCTTGCAGTGTAAGCGATACTTATGTTTTTTTTTATACTTATGTTTGGATTTAAAATTATTTTTATGCATATAAAGCAACCATTTAAAGATAGTATGTTTTTTAAAAACCATTAATATGCTAACGTTTGACCAAGATCTCACCTAATGTTATAAGGTCTTAAATGGCAAACAATTTAGCCTAGAAAATACCTATTCGCTATTGTAAATAAACTTAATTTTGTTGTATTAAAATCTAAGTCAAACTTTAGTTGACATGATATTTACAACAAACGACAATTTCACACACCCTCACTGAAAAGTAAGTTCTCTTTTGGCATAGACTTTAAAATGTTATTTTGTAAAAAGTATTAGATAGGTTAATTTATTAATTGTAAATTTTATTATATATCTATACATAAATATTTACAATAAATTATACTCTTAGTTATTATAACGCTTTATGATCATTTCCTCATAAGTTATTTAATGATATAATATTAAAATAGTTTGGAAAATCCGAAAGTATCCGCCTCATGAGCGTTTCATTTTATTTTGAGGAAAAAATAAAATTGTAAATTGAAAAAAATGGCTTATAAAATATATTATTTACGTGTTTTAAATTTAACGATCTATTATTTTAACAGATAGTGTTACCTACAGGGAAAAAAATTAAATATGTTTACCAAAATAAATCTATTACACAAAGTATATAATCGATATAGACTGTATGGTACATTTGTCCATTGTTTATTTTTGGCTAAAAAAAATGAAAGCGCCTTTAAATTTTTGATAGCAATAAAACATAAAAGTTGAAAATCATTTATTAACAAACTACGCGTACTGGTACATTGATATGAAAAAGGGAACCAGTTGATGTAATTCTGAAGTTAATAAAAAAAACTCGGTTTCGATACGTCAATTTTACCGGGATATCGTGACCACATACAAATTAAAATCCGGACGTCCACGTAATTTTTTTTCAAATCGTTTTTTTTTTCAGTGGCAATATAAAATAATTTTTTTAGAAAATATAAGATGGATTAATTAGAATGTTTTCTTGAAATACGGCTACTCATGTTATCGTATAAGTGCAATATGGTTATGACAGAGGCATTTTAAGAACACAAAATTGATTGACCTTGACGTGTCAAGAGTAAAACACTATCTAATAACGCTTCGCGTTATTAGATAGTGCTTTACTCTTGCATCTTATTAGCAATATCATCCATTAAATTTATCTTCAGAATTACAATAAAATTAAATGTAATAACTTTGACAGAAATAAAAATGTCACATTTGTGAATACGTTTGAAATTTCATGTTCGATTATTTTTTAATAAATAAATAATTTAGGCTCAGCTATCATCGAGAAACGATACAACACAGAGACTCTTGAAGAGGCCAGCGAGATTTTGTATTTTCTTGAGAAACTTCGACTCGAGGGACCTAACTACAAATCCAAACTGCCTGCGCCCTTTCACACAAACGTGTGCCTTCTCAATATTGAATATATGAAAGTTATATATATTCTATAGTTAGTTTAAGTACTCGTCGCATCTTTTATTTGTATGATCTAAACCTCGTTTTGGATAAAATGTGTAAAATTAAACTTTTTCGAATTTGTAACTATGACAAAGGTTCAAATGGCCTTAATCGTTATCATTTTCAGTCAAATATATTCGCACGGACAATGGGAAATACTTACTGATGTTTAGAAATTACACGTACAGCAGGCAATACTCTGCAAGCACTGGGGTCCGGTGGAAGTGCTCGAGGCAGTCTTCAAAGAAGTGCAACGCCTTCCTTCTAATTGGCGAAGGCGACGTAATCTTACGGCAGTGTGAGGAACACACACATAAGCCATGGAAATATCATTGCAATTCTGATGGAACTTACACTAAAATATGAAAGTGCATTTTCGCCCTCCTGTATTATAAGAGATTTACTATAATATTGTTTATGTATTTTAAGTTTTGGAAGTTGTTTTAGTAAATTATGTTTAAATATATGTATGTTACGTTGGATTACGCAAAATAGGGCCACTATATCCAACTTCTCTGTCTCTCCTTTCATTTATTGTCACTTATCTATTACTGAGTCTGTTATCTCTTTGGTGCATATATGTTCATCTTTTCCCTGGTGTGCAATAAAGATTATTCTATCGTATTTTATTGTATTTTATCTCCTCCTTAGTTGAGTATTGTATTTTATTGTTCTGTATCTCCTGCCTGGTAATAAGATTCCGACGGTATTTTTTATCTATACATTTTTTCCTTTACGAATACTTTCGGAAGGTGTCGACTGTGCATTGTGCGGAAATTGACAGCTTGGTAGCGCAGGGCGTTCAGTTGCGTCGCTGCGGGGCAGCGGTTTCAATCCTGTCATGGTTGTCCTGTGATGAAATAATTGTATTGGATATACTTGTCTATGTACAATTTATGTTTGTAAAACTTGTTTACGATACGGCAGAAAATCGTTGTGATATTACGTTTTTTAAATCTAAAAATAGAACAAGATTTATAACGAACGTAGGTACACGCTAAACATATACCTAGGTATTCGGTCGTTCTTTCCTACATAAATTAACGGCGGTACTCACAACACTACAGACATGAAAGCCAACTATTCGTGTTTTTGCACAAACATTTGCTTGGCAACTCAGGGTTGGAAGAAGAGTTACATTACATAGTACGCGAGCAACTGAACTTCGATCTCATTCTCCACTACTTCATATAGTATTATAATATATTCTGTGCTATAATAAAATAACTGAAATTGTCAATCGCAATTTCAAATGCTTACTAAGCAGTTGCTAGGTGAAGGAAAATATCATGGCGAAATCTGCGTGTCTCAAAAACTAAAACTATTTTAAATGCGTGACGTCCGCCAACACGCGCTGGGGCAGCGCGTCTGACATTTCGTAGCCCCAAAATCCTCTTAAAAATAAGAGGATTGATGTTGGCAGTGGGACATATGTAAACCTTACTTACAAACATCTACCAATTTGGTTCAGATTAGAATTCAAATTCGGTTCCCCAAAAGCAGCCAGATATGACCTATAAGACCACGCAGTTATAAGCGAAATATGTTATTTAATATTAAATCTAGATTGTTTAAGTCTAAGGCTGGCCACATAAATACGGAATTCCGTTTCGGGATTCCGTTTAAAGATTCCGTTTCGATATTTCGATTCGAAATTCCGAACGCAGCAAGTCCATATAAGATCTAAGACCCGGCAAACACGTACAGTAGTTTTCCGTTCAAAATTTTGCGGGCAAAACGGGATTCCGTATGTGTGTGGCCGACCCTTTCGGAATTCCGAAACGGAATCCCGAAATGGAATTCCGTATGTATGTGGCGGGCCTAAGATAGTAATTACAGATAAAACAATTTCCATACAAAACTTACATGTTTTATTTCGAAATATAATAATTGTGTTCATTCACAGAATAAGGCTAATTTATCGACCGAATTTTTTTTTATAACACTAGTGACAAATGAACTTACGGTTCACCTGATGGTAAGTGGCTAATGCAGTCCATGGAGACTAAAGTCAACTTCAAACATTGAAGGCTACACCATCATTGTCACCACTGAGGACTAAGATGAAATGTCTCACAGTCAGTAATCATACTGGCTTTCTATAACCTACAGACCGGAATACAGTAGTACAAGTACTGCTATTTGGCGTCAGAAATAGTAGCATTAAGGGAGTGGTGTATACTCAGACAGACTTCTAGTCAGAAAAGAAGTTCTACCACCTAGTGAATATTCGACAATCGATGTTTAGCAGCGCAGTGTCTAACCGTTTAATGAGGGCATCGACGACTTTATCTGCCACCAGGGCGGCGCCACTAGAAAGTGAGATATAATATTTGACAGATTTCATAGCTTGCAAGTTAATTTGTTCGGAAAATGTAAAATTTATTGTTTCTTTTTGTAATCTTAGCTATATTTTATATTAATAACATTAAAAATAAATAAACCAAACACCACAGATATTCATATAAGGAGAAAATTAAAAAAACAAGGTTTAAAATGTGCAGAAAATTAAAGAGAAAACCACTGACGCATTGTTTTGTGTATTAATATAATACTCTAGAAACTGATAAACTTTTATTTAAAAAATAACTTCTCAATTAAATGACATTGTGTAACAAAAAAAAATTACCTCAGTGTCAACTAGCGACATCTGGCGGGCAGAAAATTATTAGCCCTCGTTACAGCGCTGCGGAACTTCGATTCCAATATGGATCAAGTATTTGTGAACACAAACAAATAGCAGCTTGATTGTTTGTCCATGATCTATGTGCAATTTATGTGTATGAATATAAAACGTCCTGAGACCATTATCACTTAAACATGCTAATGTGTGGAGTTATGTCGGCTAATCTCATATCCGCACCTCCATATCGTCATCTGGGTGTCGTAAGAGGCGACAAAGTGAAACAAACCAAAAGAAAAGAAGAAAAACTGTGGTTGCCAACCCGTCTGCCAAGCGTGGCAACTATGGCAAACATCCTTCTTATGAGGTAATCTGTGGGGAGGCTTATGTTTAGCAGTGGACTAATTATCCACTGCTAAACATAAGCCAACATAAGTGGCTGTGATGAATAAATGTATGTTGGTAACTGGTTTTGCTGCAGATGCCTTATAAATTCTTTCACTCGTGATGAGCTAAATAGAAGTTTCATTAAGTGATAGGGCTCTTTTTCTGCTTGTATATATATCTACCTTTCGCAAGCCGTGGCGGCCTGATTTAGTAGAAGAGAGTTTAAATTTTTCTTTCACTTTTACGATTTTTATTCTTTTTTTCTCTCTCTTTGTCTCTTGATTGTCTCTCTTATGTGGAGTTTTCGGAAGGCTATCTGATAAGCGATCTTGATTCATTTGGCTGTACTGTACTGCAAGTAGTAACAAAGATACTCGTACATTTAGCGAACAGCAAACACTACGGTTAATTACTATAGAAAAATTGTTTTCTACATAAATTTCTTAAATTCACGATAGCTCAAGCTATATTTCAACTTAAGCATTGAAGACTTTGCTAGTACCTAATTTATCATGTTTTTTTTTTAATTTATCGCACAATTACGACTGGAATAAATCGCTTTCAAAGCGATAAGACCGTTAATTGTATCTACTTATAATATTATCTTTTACTGAAGTGAAACTTCTTAATCGACGTAGTGGACAAATTTAGTACGGTATAAATATATAATATAACGGTTAAAACGTCACGTTTTCTTGGTACGTTTCACCGCCGGGGCTGCATAGGTAACGAAATAAAAGAAGATATGACGTAAAGATGTTTCATTTCGTACGTGTGTACACAATAACAATGCACATTTTTATTTATTTATTGATTGAATATTTTTTTTTAAATTGGTATGTTTACTATCGAATTGTGTTCCAGTCCGTTTCATTCCAACAAGCAAGAACAAAACCCTGGCCATGTACAACGAATTCACTTACTTCCGGCACTACGCGCTCAAGACCGGCGTGCGCTGGCAATGCACGAAGCACTTCTCACAGAGCTGCACCTCCTTTTTAATACTCGATGAATATGGTGCTGTCTTGAAGATGAATGAAAACCACACGCACGAACCTTCCCAATACTATCGGAATAAAGACGGCATATACATTAAAGTATAATGAAGGTTAATTTTTCAGCAAAGAATTTTATTATACTATCCTTATTTTAATCTAAAATTTCTTAACAACTAGGTCCTTGAAAGATATTTTTGAAAAGTAAGTAAAAGTAATTAAAGAAGTAGACTTGCAAGAGTATTAATTTTGAAATCATATTTTAGGCCCTCTCAAAGAACAGCAATACCCAATAACTTATTCTAATTTCTGAAACTTCTTTGAAAAATTTACACACATTAACAAGAATTTCACATTTATTTTTATGAAATTTAATTATTTAAGTACACAGAAATCGATATGAAATGTTAATTTCTTTGAAATGTATTTGACAGACTAAATTTTCATTATTATTACAAACAGAGAAATTGTTTATAAATTGTATTTTAAAGAAATAACCATACTTTTTATCTATTTACATAATATTATATGTATTAGATTTTCACAAGCCAAAGAAATGCTAAGAAGATCTCGTGAGCTCGCGACCATCAACAGATGGCAAAGTTACTCTAGACGTAAACAATAAGAGCGTCAAAGGCATGAAACGTCTGGTACTGAAATCGCCAATTCGACAATCGAGCGTGGCGATTACGCTAAATATTACGTATGTTTATTTTGAGGAAATTACCTTCGGGTTAATAAAGAAAAAGAGCTTTGCTATCGTAATTGGAAACAATTTTTTAGCATAAATGAAGTGAAACTTATGAATTTATTTATAACTAGCTGGTACCCTGCGCGTTGCTGCCGCAGGAATAATAATTGTGGAAATATCGTTTTAAATTTGGAAGACTTATTGTATAATTAGGAATGAGAATACATTAATTTATTGAAGTTGAAGGATGTATTACTTTCAAATGAATTTGTCGGTACGATACGCGCGCCACCTACCGTAAGTTATTGTACTATGCCTATAACCTTCGCGCAAGTGCAAGCAATAAGTTGACAGTTTTACCGCAATCTGATGAACAGTATGGCAGCGCATAAAATACGAACAAACAAAAATTTATTTTTATATATTAGATAAATTACATTAATAAAGTGTTACGCATGCGTATATAAATCTGCTTGTTTCGAAGAATTTGCGTATCGGCGTTGATCTTTGTAACGAGGTAACGAAAGAAATGGTGGAAAAAGAGATAGAGAAATAAAGTAAATGGGATTACAGGTTATTTTCTATTTTTATTTTAAGTTTTTTTAAAGAATATTTTTACAGATCTTTGTGTGTAATGGATTAATCAAATATAAATATATTATATCAATAATAGATTGCATTTTTACTTTTCGGTCATTTTTGGCTATCTTCATAGATTATGCGTTTGCCTATTTGTATACAGGATTATTTTGCAATAACCGGCCAAATTTGCAGAGAAGTTTCAGAATAAGTAATGTTGCGCGCCACTATTAATGTCTTCTACATGGTAACACTAGTTACCACTAATGCTCTCTAGTATCGAGTAGCTGAACTAGGAGCGTCAAGACCCTTCTAGAAATATCGGGACCGATATGTACTCGAACATTCTAGATGTTTCTATAGTAGAATGTTCTGGAAACTACCTGAGGCCCTATATAAGGCCGGTATAGACCGCGACCAAGACAGAATTGAATTGGCGATACAAGAGAATACTTCGAAGCGAAATAACTGCGAACTAAAGTGATCAGTACAATTGTGTTTTATTATTAGTGTGGTTTTAAGTTGTAATTAGTGTTGTGTAATTAAAGTGACAATTTTGGTAATTCAATCGGCAGTTTTTAATTGTTTCGAAACCCAAGCTCGTAACTGTAATATAGGCATTCTGTCTTTTTTATCTTTTAAATTCAAAATGCGTGGTAATGCATTATTTTAACTGATTTTACTGCGCAAGCACACATTCGTAAGGGTCGATCGGTAGGCAAAAGCGTTGTTACCCATAAATGACATTCAAATTGGGATATTATTTATATATTTGAACTTGAGTTTAAAACTTGGCTACTCTTTAAAAAATAATCCTATTCAGCTATTTTCAATAACTTATCCATTTTATCAATCAGAGTAATTTGCAATGATATATATTTAATATTTATGTTTTGATTTTCTTGCCTCATTAATTCCACATCCGGTTAGTTTATCGTATTAACATTACTGGACGCGAGAGGCGAAAGCGAATAGCAGCCTTGTGAAATACCACGTTGGCACTTCTAATCTTAATACTTTAAACTGTTATTTAGGGGTTACTTATTTTCTTCACGAGTCTGATACTAGTTTTGGTTTCATCCAGAAAACTGTCAGAATCTAATCTCTGGAATAAATGTTGAATACACTTTAACTCTATGAAAAAGCGTTTTAACTTTGTACTTTCATCGAATTCATTTATGTATAATTGTTTTTTGTATAAAAACTACTTGTTTAATGGATAAAAATTACTATATTATGTAAATGTGATATTTTGAAAATATAAAAAACATAACGGTTCCTGCTTCGATTTTATTACGATTATTTTTCACATTTGAAGACTTGAAAAATTCTTTATAATATTTCAGTAAGAGTAAGAGTGAGTTTTTCATGACTAGCACAATTTTTCGCCGATATTTTTAACGCATCAAATTAAGGTAAACGGATATTAAAACCAAAAAATATTTTTCCACATTATTACTGTCATTTTCACCATAAACTAACTTTTATTTATTCTATTTTAAAGCAGTATCTGTAGTATTATAAAGTTTAAAACTATTTTGAAATTATTAATTTATTGATAAGATGGTAGGTTATGTACCTGAAGGTGAAAGATATTTTATAATTTTATATCTCAGGGTTATATTGCAATATATGCCGAAATTTACAGAGAAAGTGAAGAAAAATTAATTAAAAAAATCTTAAACATTTTGTCCTTTTTGTCTTTTAAATTTAGAATGCGTGGTTATGCATTATTTTAACTGATTCTCATTCATAAATATCTAACGCCTACTATTTTAGTACGCACGCACACATTCGTAAGGGTCGCTCGGTCGGTAAAAACGTTGTGAATTGAATTGCCCACAGAGATGCGCGCGTACGCGTAATTGTTGCCCCATAAATCACATTCAAACAAAAATTTATTCGTATTTTTAAAAAATACAATTAGATCATTATTTATATGCTAGAACTTAAAAATAAAATTTGGCTACTCTTTGAAAAATAACCTTGTAAACATTTATTAGTAAGAATCAGTTTAGCGAACATCTTAAGAACATTTAATGATTCTCCCATTATTATTTATTCGCAATTTACAATTGTTGTCATTAAACAACTCTATCGCGTCTAAAATCATTAAAAAATATAGGAAGGATATGAACTAAATTCCGGCTTTTGTTGATTTTGATGAAGCTCTTTCTTTCAGTAAAGTTCATCATGACAAGATCGGGTAAAATGCTTGCCATGTTAAATTACTACACCTACTTCAAACACGTGATCTTAAACTCGGGGGTTCGCTGGGCATGTTCCAGGCACACGTCCAGGAAATGCAAGGCCGCCCTGATTCTCACTGAGGACGGAGTTTTGATAAGAAGGAACGAGATGCACACTCATGAACCGTCTCGGTACCATTGCAGCAAAGAAGGCTTTTATTTTAAAATTTGATTGCACTTGAATTGTTTTTAAGTTACCTACTGAATATATTATAGAATTATAAAGAAAAATTTTACCGAGTGTCTTGACGGAATGAATTATGTTAAATTTTAAATTAAAATTAAAGAGAACTTCTTTTCTTTGTCCATAGGTGCATAAATATAACATTGTACAATATTGTACACTATCTGCCAAAATGTTTTACGGGAAATTTTGAGAAATAAATACGTATTGTCGTCGTGTAATATGTAATTCCTACGTACTCCTTTAGTTTGTACTATATCCTTTTTTACCCTTTTTACTGGAAACGAGGTGACGACGCATCTGCATTTTGATTCGTAATCGAGGATGGATATAGATGTTTATGGACCACAGCAACCACTTACCATCAGGTGGACTGTGTGCTCGTTTGTCACCCTTATGCTATTAAAAAAACTCTTTCTAGCTTTTTGAACGAATTATATAATGTGGGATAAAATTATTTTGCCAGGGTAAAAGGTATAATTACAGGAGGCATTCCATCATAGTCCTCGGAGTTGACAACGCATCTGTAGTCTTCTTTGTATGATGTTGGCTGCTAGTGTCCATGGATGCAGTAGACACTTACCATCACGTGAACCGTATCGTCTGTCACTTCAGTTTTATAAAAAAAAAAAGGCTCTGACTGTAGTCAGTACCTGTGTGTTCTGCTGTTTACACAGTACGACCACAATGTCGTGGTCTTTAATTGTAGACATTTTTCGTCTATACAGTAGGCAACTGCTGTCCTATCAGAGCTGACCATCAAAATCATGTTGCATATGGCTGTTTGTGTTTCCACAGGAATCTACGAATTATTATACTTCGTGAGAATATACGAGTAATTATTTCCTGGTGACCTTCTTCATCATTTTGTAATAGTCCACGGCTGAAGGTGGGCTTCTCCACTTGTAGGAAGGTCTTCCACACATTAGTGGACATTGTTGAAGTGAAATCAAAATATGTTTGTAATATCTGACTGGCAGTAACTATCCAGTTAGAACTGGATCCTTGTTGCATTCACAGGATAACTGTCGGATAGTAGCTGATCTTTACCGTTCGTCAGCTACTAAAACTGTACTAAAACTGCGCGCTGTGAAAATCAGACTTAATTCGCCAATTATCCGTATCTCTCGCGCGGTGTGTCTGTTCCTCAAATTGATAGTTGGTTGCCCGTAATGCATTTATATCTTTTCAGTACTCATGGTTAAGGGTCGAAATGGGAAAAATCTACTTATGCTAAACGGTTACACATATTACCAGCATAAAAATCTACGCGACGGTTTCCGTTGGAGCTGTACACAAATGTCGTCCAGGTCTTGCAGAGGATTCCTTCACGTAACACGTGAAATGTTGGTAGTAAGGGCTCAGACAGAGCACACGCATCCACCTTCCACGTATTTTTTGGAGAATATCAAAACGAAATATAATAATGTACGTATAAACCAATTCTTTTTGTTGCTTTAACATTTTCTCTATACAAACAACTCGCCAACAATTTTACCATGTTTTATTAAGTTACTTTCTTGTTTGTCTGTCTCTCTGGCTGTCGTTCCGGGTGGAATCTTGCAACTCAAATTTCGAGCACTTCCCGATGAACTAGAGACTTGAAATTTTGAACATAGCTCAGTCGGATGACAATGTAGGAAATATGAAAAAAAACGTGGTATTTTTTTTAGTACAAAATTTAAAAAGAAATCAATTTTTTTAATAACTTATTTATTGAAGCTACTATAGGATACTGATTGAAATGGTCTATCGTTACAAGTGTATGATACTAGTAAGATTTTGTTTTTTTACTTTTCAGGTAAAGAAAACTTCCGTAAGAGAGAACATAAATCTGTCATTAAGGATAGAAAATATTCAAGGGCGCGTAGGATTTTAGAAAAAGTAATCAATGTAGTGCCTTAATTATTAAAAAAAAATATTGAATAATCTTTAAAATTATATTTGACTCGAATATAGGTTGTAACTTACTAGGTTTATATGTATAACTTTTTTTTTAAATAACAAAGTGAGTTAAAAATGTAAGTGCCAGTTAAAAAATGTTCGCACGACGTTAATATCCACTGTTGTTGACAAGTTTGTTCTATTATTGTTTAATGGCATGATTTAGCCGTAAAAATTCTTATTTAATCAAACAAAAAAGTTATAGGAAGAAAATTATTTTTTGTGTCGTTAATTTTACTATTAAACATAATTGGTAGCATTCGATATTAATCAAAATATTGTTTTGTATGGTCATTCAAAATAATTCAAAACTTTTCTGATTAACATCCTGTTATATTTCTATGTAGATTTGAGTTTTTCAAGATATTTTAGTTTTTTAAGATACTAGAAATTTCGTTGCGTATCTTACCATTCTATAATGCATTTTGTGTAAGATTACACACACACTGTTTCAAATTAAACATTCGCAATCTATATTGTTTGTCTAATATCTTTGTTATTTTCTTACTAGCCGAGTTTTACCAGCGGCCAAGTGGAAAAATAAATATCCGTTTAAACGACTTCACTTTCTATAAGCACTTGAAGGCGAGAACCAACGCACATCGTTGGAGCTGCACTGCGTACGGATCCAAATGGAAATGCAAGGCCCATCTCATCATTACAGATAAACTCGAAGTTCTAAAAGCTAATCTCGCTCACAGTCATCTTCCAAAAGATTCCCACAGACGTAAAAACAATTGTAGCGGACCTGTCCTTAAAAAAGACGTCCATCCTGTTGTGCCTTTACATAGTTCTTTTAAAGAAAATAGCGTAAAGAAAAATAATTCCCCAACAGAGAAAATAGATCTTTCACTAAGAATACAAAATATTCAAGGGTGCGTCAGATATTAAAGAAAACACACACACAACACACAAATGATATCATTTGGTTAGAATATAACTTGTAACTCACCGATTTTTTTATTTTTTTATAAAGTTTAAAAAGTAAGAAAAAAAAAGTGTCAATCAACTATGATTTAGGCGTATTTCAAGCTCTCATAAATGTGAAAATCTTCATCGGTTCGAAAATTTAGACGTAGAAATATCGACAAAAGTTCCGGGGTATCTCTTTTTCTTAAATAGCGATAATTTCATTTAACAGTTAAATTTGTTTATGGAATCAGTACTTTGAATTCAATAAAACACAGTAAAAGAAAAGAAAATTATAATGCATGAAGTTACTTCTTCACAAGTGCATTTTCATACATCCTTGTCTTTACCGTTACCATTACAGCCTATTAAATTCCACTGCTGAACATACGCCTCCCTCATAGATTACCTCATAGGGGGGATATTTTCCATAGTTGTCACGCATGCAAGCGGGTTGGCAACCGCTGTTATTTATTTTTAGTCATTAAGATGCTGCTGCCTATCTCTTAATTTGTATCTCTCTGTCGCTTCTTACGACACCCACGGGATGATATGGGGTAGTGGATATTCTTACCGCCGCTACACAGTACATACTTGTCTTTAAATATTGATTAATTTAGTAATAAGTTTTGCTAACACAAGTGTATTTGCATATCAGTTCTATTTTTCTGTGAGACCTATTATAAAATTGTCGTTTACTTTGAGGATAAGAACGTATATAATAAAAATGATTACGCCACGGATTATTTGCCTGTTGGTACCATAAAATAAATCTTAATACCAACATGATGATTCCAATTCCTTGAAATTGTTATAGTGTAAAGTGGAATCACTTTAAAGAAGGGACAAACAATGAACCTATTATAGCTTTTGGCCGGTTCTCTGTAGAGGTCCCACTTTTCGAGTCGGTGGTACATTTTTAAAGTTTTAAATAAGCCTAAATTAAATCTAATTTTAACTTAGCCTAAGGCCTCATTTATCGGTTCGAATTTCGTTGCGTTTCATCTACATTTTGAGCGGCCACTACCAGTTATGACACTGATACGTATGCGTGTGTAACTAAAGGTTCTGCAAGAAAGCCTTCCACGAAAGTATTGGACTCGGTATGTTTTTTCTTATGTTCACTGATTTATCGGAAACGGTTGAACCGATTTAAATGATTATTTTTGATAAATAGTTTACTACTTCAGGGATTGTTGTAAGGCCATATAAATTTAAATAAAAAAAATAACTACATATTTAGACGACATTTTAGTTGTTATCTTTTGAAGTCGGTTGTAATTTTCAGTTTATTTATTTACTTATTTTAAACGACTAATTACTAAATGAATCTTGCCGTCTGATTACTAATCGTTGTTTATTGATAGTCTTTGATTAAAAGAAGAGTCTTTGTCATGAAAGAAGTCTCTAAGCCGCGGCGCCAGTCTGCGAAATTTTACATTTTGCTGTCAAGCTCCATACTTTATACACTTTAGTTCGCGTATTATTTATAAGACTTTGTTATTAAAATAGGGCTTTAGCCTAAGATTAATTATTAAATACTTTTTAATAAGACTGTTGAGGTCCTTTTTTGTAAATAGACTTTTTGCCTAGATGTTGCAAGAAGAACATGTACAAAACTACTGATTGCTATACGACACATCCAATAATGTAAACTAATTTCCCTGCTTCTGTATTTCGGCAGTACTGTATTAAATAAAAAAATGTAAAACTTAATTTTGCTCCGGCGTATATGGTTCCCATTGGAGCTTGGAATCAGTTATAATTTCTAGAATGATAACCGAACTTAAAGGAAAATGAAAATGAACAATTAAAGTAAAGATCACTGAATAGTTTCTCAAACTTAACATGGGTATTTTTAGATGTATTATAGATTTATACATTATTAATGTTAACTTAAGTATAAATGTCACACCGAGAGATTATAGATTTTAAGATAGGAGTGGTTTAGAATAGATGATTTTTTCTACTCATCTGTAATGATAAAAATGAGCCATTGAAAAAAAATACCTCGGTCATATTTTTTACTACATATTCCGGATAGATCATTAATATAAAGTAAAAATAGAAATGGAGCGAGGATCCCTGTGGGAGACGCATTTGCACAACTGAACAAGAAGACCGAATATGTAATGCGTGGTCAAGAAATACTATAATATTTATATTTGTAAGTTAATATTCCATGCTTTATCCAATCATAAGCCCTCAAAAGTTAATAAAAACACCTATTATTTCTTAAAAACTGGTAACTACTATTAGTTTCGTATTTTATTTAAGACACAGTGTTGTTTAAGAGTCCATTGTACTGTATTGACGAGACGACATTCAGTGTTAAGATTTATATAATTATGCTAGTCTTAAAAAGTATTTTTTGATAATAATATTCAACATGCTACTAAAGACAAAATATTAATTGTATTGAACGTTCACACGTTATTTTTATATGCTCATTTCTTCTTATCATGACTTACTAAACTTACTGAATCATGACTTTTTATTTATTTCTCACATCCTTTTATTTTTACTTAGATTTTAGTTTTTTTTTAATGCTATTTAAACAAGAGAAATCGTGTTGCATTTTATCATTGTCTGTGTAATTTGCAATGCGACTTTCCTTGTCATAGTTATAAATTAAGTTTTTACAGTATTTCTGTCTAATGTCTGTGTTCTATTTTGCTAGTCGAGTTTTACCTACGGCCAAATGGAAGGATCAATCTCCGTTTAAACGACTTCACTTTTTACAAGCATTTGAAGGCGAGAACCAACGCACATCGCTGGAGCTGCACAGCGTACGGATCCAAATGGAAATGCAAGGCCCATCTCATTATCACGGACAAACTCGAAGTTCTAAAAGCTAATCTCGCTCACAGTCATCCTCCAAGTGCTAAAAAAGATTCCCACAAACATCTGTATCAAACGATAAATGGCTTAGGAACAAATAAAGAGAATAATAGCGCGCCTGTCCCTAATAATAATACGAACGATCTTCATCCTGTTGCATCTCTACACGACTATTTTATAGCACATAGCGTCTTTAATAACTATTAGATATAAGTAAAACTCGTATTTTCTATACTCTCAATCATTATTGCGTATTGTGACTATAGTTTTGATGTGTGCAGGGATTGTTAACTAAACCATATGAAAATAATTTTATAGTAAGTTGTATCACATATCACTATAAAGTATCAAACTACTTGACATAGTTCTGGTTCGTTATGCACAATTGATTAAAACACAAATATTATGCATTTCTTATGACAAGGAGGTTTTCTAAATGTTTTCCTTCATTTATTTTAGTAGTTTGGCGTAATTTTTTTTATAATAGTGACCATTTGTCTGTATTTTTATTGCATAATAAATATACGTGATTATCGACAGGAAAGTGCCTTCATTAGAATTATGTGTCTTCAGTAGAATAAGTTTTGTAACGATATTTAACATCGTTGTATAGAAATTAAGGTTTACTAGTAAGTTAACGTGGTGTGATAAATGCATTTTGTGACGTGTCCAGTATTAAACTTGTGATTAACATTGATTTTGTATTAAGACTGCCTGCTTCATTTATGTGATAGATTTTTGCATCTCACATGTTCGGATCTCGATTATGTCTTACGATTTTTTATAATTCTTTTGAATACGTACTTTATGTTGCATGTTCATTGCGATTTCTTTTTATGTGTGTACCTATTAATGTAATAATATACTTTTTATAGCATTTAATTGTATTAACTCTGAATATACTTTCATGAAATATACTTTAACAATAACTTCAAGTTTTTATTTAAGGATTTGTAGTACTTTTAATTTATTTTGTTATTATAAAGTTTCATGTTTTTAAGTGGACATTTAAAAAAAACTGACTCTATGTTCATTAATTCGTTCTTTTTCAAGAACATTTTCATACATTCAACTCATTCATTCTTTATAAAAAAAAAAACGTTCTAAATAACAGGTAGATCAACAGGTACACGTAGTGACTTTATAAATGGGAAACAATGTATATAAGTGAATGCACATGCGTATTACATAACAGGAAGAAGCACTGGAGTAGAGTCGCGGGGGAAAAGGAGCGTCGGTATAGGGTTGCGCCACTCGCCCTATTCCTCGCAATTCTGGCGCACCTTTGATGCAGTGGTGGTGGGGCCGCGGGTGGAGAGGAGTGTCGGTATTGAGAGACGCCGCTCTCCCTACCCTCCGTGGCCAAAAATTGGTTGGCGGCGGAGCTATAGACCAGATTCGCCGCTGCTCAGGAAGACTGGTGTGTTAGACTTTCCTGGCTCCATGGCCTCTCCTCTGCGTACCGGGCTCGGGAGGGCCCGCTGCGCAGGTGTAGTTAGAGACCGCGGAGGAAGCCACGCCTAATGTTCTGGTGCATCTTATGTTAGAAGAAGTGGAAGGAGAGGTTCTCTACCGAGAAGGGGCTGCCATGGGGCGCAGATGTGTGCGAATGCGTTACCGTGGCCCTGCCAATATGCAGTGAATGTGAAACACGATAGGGTTTTAGTCAGTCAGTCAGTGCCAGTCCAACATAACATGACTTTCCCCCCGCGAGGCGCGTATGCGTAAAAAAGTATAGAGACTCTATATAATTACAGGCTGGCATTTATATCTTAGTCCTCAAGTCCCCTTAGTGATAACGCATCTGCAGCGTTCTTTGTTTGAAGTTAGCTGCAGGTATCCATGGGCTCCAGTAGCCTCTTATCAGTAAAACATTAATAACACCCCAATATCACCGGAACAGCTGCTTGTGTTGCCTCAGCGTAGCGGCCGGACCAAAAATCGGCGTTGTGATTGCTACCAAATCTAACCCGTTCATTTCACGATAGTATGCTGCCACGCGGGTTTTTCAAATTACTATATTTTGTTTGTATCTTGAATAAACATGTTTATTATCTATATTTTTTATGTTCACATCTCTTTATACATTAATTTTAATTTGTGTTTTCTACCGACTTCAAACAGGAGGAGGTACTCAATTCGACTGTATGTTTTTTTATGTGCGTTACCTCATAACTTTTTTCTGGGTGAGCCGATTTCGATTATTCTTTTTTTATTTGAAAGCTGGTGCATCACATGTGGTCAAGGTCTTATCAATAGTTTTTGAGTTATTCTTAATAATTTATATTGAAGTCGATTGTACAAAATTTTTAATTTTTAATTAAATTTTAAATATTATTGCATTTTTACTCTGTATTTTAATTCATTTTAAAAATCTGACAGGACAGCTGATTCAATATGTCAACGGTCGATTTGTTTATCTTCTGCACGGATTCACCTATTATAAGCAAAAACCTATTCAGCGTGGATTTGCTACACGTTGGGTCTGCACAAGATGTCAAGTCTACATACATCTTGATGAACACATGAACTTAATTCGACTGCCTTCAGCCGTTCATAACCACCCGTCGTCAGTAATTCATCGCCACACTAACGGAAAATACATTAAAATAGTATAGTAACTTCAAAAACACAATGTTATGAAATCTTTAGGATCATTAAATTGTTTTATTTTGTTAAAGCATTCTTATTTACTGTATTGTTGTTAACATCCTATTTGAAAGTCGTTGTCATTGGTGCGATTTTTGGTAGTCACTAGTTCAGAGTGTGTTCAAAGGATGACATCGACTCCAAACTGATTACAATGATGGCTAATAATTTTCCACTCACTAGATGTCGCTAATTGTGACTGAAGTAGTGTTGAAAAAAAGAGTTAAAATTGTGCAAAAAAAATGAAAATAATACCATGCTTAGTGTATTAATATTACTCTAGAAACTGAAACACTTTTATTTAAAACTAACTTCTCAATTAAATAACACTGTGTAACAAAAAAAAAATCACCTTGCCAACTAGCGACATCTAGTGAGCGGGAGATTATTTATTAGCTCTCATTGACTATTAAATAACATTAAAAAAAATTGCAGGTGATCTTATTGCTCTGTCTAATGGTAAAAAGTTGATCATGCTGAAGAAGTACACATACAGCAACAAAGGTGAGTCCAATGGCAGATACAGGTGGAATTGTACTACACCTGATTGCAAGTCCTATCTCCTGGTGTCAGCGAATTTGGATATAGAGAAAGTGGTGGAGAGGCATGACCACAAGCCTCCTAAATACAAACTTACGCCAAGAGGAACATACTTTGAAAAGAAATGGTCTTCCAGGAAGTACACTTAACTATAAAAATTGTGCTTAGAATGTAATATTATGTTTAAGGAATGAAATCGTATGGGGAAAAATTTTTGTTAAGTATTTTAGAATTCTGTAATTAAAGATAAAAATGATTTTTTTTTAATTACATGTTTTATTTTTCAACAATTGTTTTCCATTTTACTTTTTATATGAATTGTATGTAGGGCTTCCAACTAGATGGAGTGACGACCTGGTAAGACTTGCAGGAAGTCGATGGATGCAGGTGGCTCAGGACCGTGCTTTGTGGCATTCCTTGGGGTAGGCCTATGTTCTGCAGTGGACTTGTGAAAGGCTGTAATGATGATGAAAACTAGTTTCAGTTTTATTACTTTGTCCATTTTCATATTATATATTATTTTATTAGTGATTTAATATATAATATTTTATTATTTTGTCCTTTTTATATTTATAAATCGTTATGAAATTGTCAATTAAATCACATTTATTTAGTTTTCTACTAGCTTTCGTTGTTTAACATTATTTCTGGTGATTGTAACATTGTTGTTCAATTTCAGTTAACATTTTTATGACGTCGCGTGGCAAAGAGCGCTTGGTGTTCCGTGATTTTACATATTACAAGCAAAGTCGGACACGAAGTGGCTTTAGATGGGGGTGTACAAAGAACAGGTGGCACAGGTGCAAGGCGTACCTCCATCTCGCAGATGACATGACGATCGTAAGGAGTAACATGGAGCACACACATAGTCCTTTTGGCACTCCTTCACGGAAGCAAGTTCCCTGAATACTAATTTATTGTGAATGACCTAGTTCTTATATCTGCTACTGGAGTCACATTGACACATATTTAATTATCACCAGAGATTATTTAATGTATTATCAACTGCATACTGTGAGCAGGATAAGAATGGGATTGGGTTGAATGGTAATTTATTTAAACGTTTCGTTTTATGGTTATCATTTTAATTCCTTCAAGTAAAATAGAATAGAAAGTAGTGACTATATACGATTAATAACAAGTTGGTTCTCGAGTGGCGATCTCGTATCGGTCGGCGAAGTGTAATGTGGCCCTCCACTAGATGGAGTGACGACCTGGTAATAACTATATATAGATCTATAAGGAAGATCTATATATAGATACACGCAGGAAGTCGTTGTATGCAGGTGCCTCAGGACCGTGCTTTGTGGCATACCTTGGGGGAGGCCTATGTTCAGCAGTGGACAGGTGAAGGGCTGTAATGAAGTAAAGAATTTGAATAAAATAAATTTAATGAATAAAATAAATAAATTTGATTTTTCGCACATATGTAGAACACATTTGAAGTTATTGTGCAATGCGAAGTGACATAAGTTGGACAGTGCTATTCCAATCGCGCACGCATATTACACTTATGCATTCTTGCTAATTTGAACTAATGTTTTGATTTTATTATAGGACCACCTTCTTGCATTATGATCTTTGTAAATATACTTATAATGTTAGTGTTAAAATGTCCATTTAGAATGTTAGGAGTAATCGGTTCTGTTCTAGTCTACTTGTGATAAGTGTTATAAAATTTTAGTTGTGTGATAGAAAATATTTTTCACAAATTAGGCATAATTTTAATGAGTTGTGATGCGTCATGTATGATTTTTAAAAGATACTTATTGGTATATTTTAAAACCAATACATTTAAAACGGATTCTTTTAAAAACGGTCAACTTCTATTTATTTATTCTACGAGTATGTATGTATGTACTATTCTAAATAGTCTATTTTGTAAGCAAAACTTATTTTATGTTGTCAGCAGAAGGAAACTATTGTTTGAAATTAAACTATTTTAACAGTTGACCGTCGACCATTTCGTACTGGTGATTTCAGGTAGCTTTATACTTATGTATTATTTGTATGTTTTTTGGGTTAAGTTTTATTTTACCTAAGACTGAGAGAAAGTGAGTTTTAATACTCTTCGTTTGGTAAGACTGTAGGGGGGGGGGGGATATTAGCAATAATGCAAAATATAGCTGCATTGATGTGATATCTGTTATTTTCCCATTGATAGGTACAATTATGTTTAGTCCATAAGAACAATTTACAATAGTCGATATGGATTTGACTTTATTTTATTTGTTTTATAATTTAAATAAGTTTCTGTTTGTTAATGAAATGATCTCACTACATAAAATGGTTATTATACACGTTGAATTGTGTTATTAATTACATTTATTTTCCTCAGCACATAGTTTTTTGAAATATCATGAAATCAATTCTTCAATATTGTCTTCCTTACACTCAATACTCGTTTACCGCTGCGTGTCTTTTGCTACTTAGCTGCTATCGCGTTTTTTACTGTCTTAGGGTTGCCAGCATTTTGTATCAAATATAGCATTTTTAAGTCTTGTACATATACCTGTAAAAATATAGTAGACGACGAAAAGGTAAAAAAACATATATTTAGTATGTTTCAAATTAATATTTTAGTTTTAAAGATATACTAGCTGGCCAGGCAGACGTTGTTCTGCCCTTTCCGACGATCCTTTGTCCTATAAAAATCCTTAAATCGTAATAAAAAATATTGAGGGTCACTTATCGGGATAAAAACTATCCTATCTCTCAAGTTGGACCAAACTGCACAGTGTGCAAAATTTCATTGCAATCAGTTTAGTAGTTTAGGAGTTCATCGCGGACAAACAATGTGACACTTAAATTTTATATATAAAGATTTATCCCTTAATTAACAGCCCCACGTTAATGACAGTCTTCGTTTCCTCTAATAAGAGTATATTAAAAGTGCGAATAGAATAATTCTATTCGAACTTTTAATATACTCTTGCAGCGTTTTGTTTTTATAAGCTCTCTTCGCGTTCACATAGTCCACTTGATAGTAAGTGGATTCTGTGGCCCATAGACATCTACATTTATCCTCAATTAAGAATCAAAATGTAGATGCGTTGTGACCCGTGAGAACTAAGATGGAATGCCTCTTTTCCAGAAAAAGGGTCTCCGGTTCTCTACACTCACCATACGAAACACAGCGGCATTAAGCAGCTATTTTACGCTGGTATTCTGTGAGAGGCGTGTTCCTACCACGGTCTAGCTAACCCATTTGTGTTGCAACCACAATATAGCTGCAGCATGTCTCTACCACGTATAAAACTACCTATTTGAAGTCGACATACCATGCATTCGAACCAATCGGTTTGCTTCGTCGTACATAATGCGTCTAACAAAGGAGTGGAATAATTTTCCTGTATTTGTCTTTTCAAAATATGAGTGTCTTCTAGAGAAGGGTGAATAGGCGTTTGTTTACTTAAGTCCGTATGCATAACCATCATACATACGACAAAAAAGAGGATACCTCCAAAATATCTTTCGCTGTACCTTACCCATTCAGACGAGTTCTTATATTTCGAAGAAATAAAATAAAATATATTATTAAAATAGGGTGTAGACAATAAGAATTTTATGATCTTTCTATTTTTTTCAGCGACCTTCATCACCTTATCAAAGGGCTCTAGATACTCTAGACTTCTGTTTCTCGACGAATACACGTACTTCAAGGGCAACCCCATACGCGTCGGCTTCAGGTACTGCTGTTCAAGCGCGCAGAAGGGCTGCCGAGCGTACGCCCACGTGAGCCCCGATAATCGTATCCTCCACGCTGTCACCAATCACAACCATCCGCCGAACAAATACGCTAAAACTAGTGCTGGATTATACCTTAAACTGTAATCCTTAAGGGTTAGGGTTAGTGTAGAAAGAGTGGCGAAGTGTCCCGAGTGTCTCGTGTATATGTACGCCGCACGTGCTGCCGAACGGTCACCACTGAGGCCTTATCCTCAGCAGTATGCGCGACAACGGCGTATGCTGGTTTAGTACGCGGAAAGATCAGCCTCGTTGCACACAGAGTGGGCACTGATTTTCTACAGTACGGACTCAGACCAACGAAGAAAGATAGACAGAACACCACGTCACATCATTCTTCTTTCTTTCTTTGAAATCCACTGCTGGACGCACACATATACACCAAAAACCATATTGGATGCAAATGAATTTTGGATGTGTATGTGTGCGTGAGTGCAAGTCAAGAATTAATGGTTTCGGTGCTAATCTTTCTACGTTGGTCTGTTATTAGAAATAAGCTTTAAGCCTGAGTGAAGATCGTATGGCGGGTCGTTTCGCGCAATGGCGCGTTTACCATATATTTTAAGGAAACTAACATATTATATGTGTGTCAGAACAATATGTATTTATTATGCGCGCTAAATGTCCCGCCCAGTTGCACGCTCTCTACTGGAGAATTAAAAACCCAAATATTTGTATACATCCGTTAAAACAGTTTAATGCTCGATTCCTATATTCAAGAAACATTTCGCTCTCCGTTACAATTCGTTTTATTACATACTTACAAATTGCAAGTAAAAACTTCATAAATAGTCGAACTGGTAGTTTGTTATGAAGAAGGATATTCGTGCACTTCATTTACTGCAAAACGGCTTGTAAAAGAAAACGAAACGTTTTTAAATATAGAAACTCTGCATAAGCAATAAACATACCCAGCCGGAGAATAGAGCGTGTCGGCGCGATCGACATACAGTTTAAGCGGTCATCAGCCACCACTCAATACACTGCAATGCAAGGGGACGTTTGCCAGGGATTATTCTCAAAATCCTCTTTGATCGTCCCCTCGCCGAACGTCTCGCTGCACGTCGGAACAGAGCGGCACTTAACACAATGGAAATCATACTTAAGCATTACACATACATATGTAAAGTTTGTATAAGAATTTCAGTTAACTAAGTTGCTAAATGCATTAATAATTGTCATCAATAAAATTTCCATGATTCTTTTAGCTACCTACATCACACTCACGCGCGGAACGAGACTACTCTTGCTCAATGAATATACGTATTCCAAAAGCGGTCCTATACGTGCCGGCGGCTTCAGGTACAGCTGTTCCAGTGTACACAAGGGCTGTAAAGCTCACGTTCACGTCAGCAGGGATGATCTCATTTTACTCGCGGCCACGGAACATAACCACGAGCCAAGTAAATACGTTAGAATGAAATCTGGAATGTATATTAAATTGTAACTAATATCGCCTGTGGTCGAAATTTTACCAATTGTAATGAGACAACGCTAAGTATTTGATTGTATAACTTTTTTTATTTGCAAAGTTTTTCCGTGCAGGGTAGGCAAAGGGATCATAGCTCATACAGCCATGGACATTTTGTTTAAGGCGTATAAATCGTACAATATAACACACATAGTTTTCTTTTTCATGTACATCTATTTCTTTCTCTATTATCATTTCTCTACTTTTGTAATAAATACTAAAAAGACCCTTAGAGAGGGAACTTGTTTCGATGTTCATGTATTATTATAATTATTTGACAACATGACTAATAAATATCGAAGTTTAGACGAGATGTCAATCGCTTAATAAATGAAATACGTCTAATATACGTAAAGTTAGTTTTTATTTTAAATAATTAACTTCCATCTACATATTTAAACATTGTCATGGAGCATTGGACCAGTGGCCACTTAGGAAGATTTACGAAACTAAAAAAGAGTTTTATGGTTATAGGTTTTACTATCATATTTTTTCAAATAACTCTCCACCGTATCAATACAAATTTATATGCGTCAGTCTCTTATGACACCCACAGGATATGGAGTAGTGGATATTCTTATACCGCCACTACAATGAAATTCAATAAAACTCGTAAAAAATGTGGAGCGAAATTTGAAATTGGAACATTCGTATTTTTTATCGTATTTTTAATCTCGGTCGGGCCAGAAGCAGTTATTGGATTTTTCTGTTAAGAAATTCTCCGTACTCGGAGTCATTAAGTTAATGGCGTTTCCTACCGGTGCCTCAGAAATCACGTAAAGCCGGTCGTGTGGAATATCCGTCTCATCGGACTATCTGTGCTTACGTACTTCTGATACTGCAATCGGCAATCCGTATGCGAAGCGTGACGATTAATGAAAATTCTCTATAACGGTTAGAGACCCATGTCCAACTGTTGACACATTCCATTTGTTATTTGCTAGCTGTTTATGGGCTGCTGAAGAAGAAGTTGAAGTGATTAAAGATTTTAACCCAAGTAGGTCCCAGCAGGAGTCAACTGTTTTACAAAAGAATTATTTGTCGGTATTTGGATCTGACTCTGCTATCCCGTCTTATGTAATCTTATAGTTAGCAAGGAATGGAAAAGAGGAATAAAAAGCAATGGGGGAATCCCTTACAATGCCAGGTCAAGAAGAAAAACCAATGACACAATACTCAAAGATGTATTGGTGGCTCAGAGTGAAATCATAAACCGATTTCAAAATAAATGATTAATACTTATCTTTAGAATATCTTTCATACATTCCGCCAAAATAATCGTGATCACAGATCGTAACGTTTAAAGTAATTGTTGCAAGTCGTACGACTCGATCAGAATATCTCGCCTAACTGTATTGTGTTATACGAGTACTGGACGTTTGGGTAAATGTTTATCTTAATTTTATTGAAATATATGGATTTCTTATACGAAAATCTAATTTTAAGAAAATAAATATTTTTTTGGTTATGGTTTGGTTATTCCTTCATATTTGTTAAATATAAAAGTTCTATTGTGATATATAATAAAATATTAGTTAGCAGAATTATTTTATGTTTATTTTATAATTCCTAATAAATTTTAGCTGTATCATTTCCATAGAAGATTCTCTATTTTATTCGACGTCCGATAATTCGAAGAATACGAATTTCGACGAGCTGAACCACGCGCGATTCTGTTCGTGATTTCATTATTAAAGATCCTTCGGACCCAAGAAAAAAATCGGAAGTCCCTGTGATGTTTGAAGAATCTAAACAGTCGACTCCAACATCTTCGTGCGTAATCAAGCTCACCAGACTTATCATGCGAGGATGGGGACTCGAACCTGAGATGATGTTTATATTTCAGTAAGAAAGTAAGTAACCAACCATAAAATTATTCTGATTTCCTATTTGTTTGTATTTTATTGTTAATTTAGGGTTCAACACAGCTTTAATACTCGAAACAGTCATGGTCTCTATAAGTTTCTGTACATTCTCGTCTATTTAATATCTATCATCATCTTAGTTCATAGTTTGCCTTAAAGCTATATGTAGTTATATAGGTGATTAAACTTACAGATGTGTTTTCTTTGGCTAAGAAAATGGATTTTTTAATACGTTGACGTTTTCAGTGTTCCTACTTTAGTAATAGTTAGTATTCTTTAGTATATTCCTACGCAAAGTCTAGTGTAATCCATCTTTCCTTGAATAGAAATCACTTATTTATAATTTGTTCACACAGAAGATACTAACTTCTGCAGTGAATTATTAAAAGTTTAATTGCGAAAGGTAATAAGTTTGGTCTTAAAAAATAACGTTTAATATCATTACGTATTATAGTAACGTAAACTGTGTAGTGGCGGTGTAAGAATATCCACAACCAAATATCGTACCCTGGGTGTCGTAAGAGGCGACAGAGGAAAAAAAAACCAGAAGATGGGCAGCAGCGTCTTTCAATCACAACTAGTAAATAAAAACTGCGGTTGCTATCCCGCTTGCCAAGCGTGGCATCTATGGCATATATACCTCTTATGGGCCAATCTATAGGGCTATGTTTAAGAGTGGTGTTTGATAGGCTGTAACGAAAAATGTATTGTATTATTTCTCTAATTTGCATGAGATTTTCTGTTTATCTGTTCATCTCGTGTATGTTTTAAATAATGTTGTAAGATCCTTCAAAATATACTTCGATATACGTGTAAATACGACAGGTTCATATATTTTTAAATGTACGTACTTTACTACTGTGTGTTTCTTAACTTTGTTGGACTTAATAACAACTGTGATTATGCTGTACACTTTAAAATTTTCTTTACTTTATTCCAGGCATATACGTCAACACGACACGGGGAAGGTTATTGCTGTATGAGAAATATACATTTTATAAAACTCATCGAATAAGCGGCGGCGGTTGGCGTTACTCTTGCTCTAGTTTGAGAAAACTGAAATGTAAAGCATTTTTGCACGTGAGCAAGGACAATGTTATACTGATGTCTAACGCAGTCCATAATCACAATCCCGACCAATACTTGCCAACTGGAACTGGATTGACCTTTAAAATATACCCGTAATTTTATACGCCTTTTTTTGTAGATCTGTATGGGAGTTATCCCTTTCATATTCGTCCGCCTTTTATAATCTATTGTACATACTACTGTTTTCAAATATAATCGCTGCTCGATATCGTGTGAAATTTGTTTAAATTTAAACTTTGTAATGTTATCTGTGTATATGAATTATCTGTTAAGCAAACGTGGTTAAAAGTAAAAAGTCTTCACCGTAACTGAGTTATTGTGCTTATTACTCAGTGTTAGTAAAGAACATAGGAAAAGAATAATGGATATAAAGTATTAATATAAAAACAATGAGGGTTAGAGAGGATTTAATGGAATCTGCCGCAAGTAGGGTTGCCAGATGGTCGGGATTCGTCTGGATACTCCCGATATTTTAAATGATCTCCAGACTCCCGATAAAACTCAAAATCTCCAGACCAACAGCTTCTCGGAAAGTTCTATACAAAATACTAATTTAAAATTGCCACGCGCGTTCACGTTCTTCTTCGTCATGTCCCGACAAGATGGCTATCTCTTTTGCCCACTTTAGATCATTTACTGTATTGTTAGTCTACAGTAAATCAGTATTTTATGTTGAAAAGGGAGGACGAATGTCGAAAAGAGATATTAATATGGGAGTTTGTAACAAAAAGTATAAGCCATATTGATAGTAATAGGGAACGGGTTGACGAATGCAAACAGGAAGGGGATTTCAGAAGCATATTTATTTTTGTAACGTAATGTTCGAGTTCCAAGTAGCAATTTTAACATTGGAAAGTGCTGCATGCACTGTCCTAGAACTTGAAAGAACTAATGAATCATCTCAAAAACAGGTTGGATGACAAATTCTTAGGTAGTAGAAAAATAATCTTATTAAGGAATGTTTCCGATAGTGCGAAAATTCTTTTTGCGTCAAAGCTGAACATTTTTTAAAACGAGCTATTCAATACTTGCAAGAACGCCTTTTTTCTGAGAACTCTATATAAAAATTCGCTGTATTGTCTTTAAAAGGTACAAATTATTTACGTGGGAAGAGTTATCCGTATTGCCTGACGTACTTAATATTTCAAACGATATTGACTTTATATACCGATTACTTTTGTCTTCGAGAAACACTTGAATATCTTCCAGAAAACAAGAACATGGTCACGGGGGACCATAGATGCTGTAAAGTACCCGAAACGTCGGGAATCAATAAAAAACAAGAAAATTAAACGCGTTAAAATCCGTAAAAGTAGTTTTATTCCAGGTGTAATTAAATTGGTTATATTTTTTTTTTTTTATAGGAGAGGGGGCAAACGAGCATGCGGCTCACCTGATGGTAAGTGACTACCGCCGCCCATGAACAACTGCAACACCAGGGGAATCGCAGATGCGTTGCCGGCCTTTTAAAAAGGAGTACGCTCTTTTCTTGAAGGTCCCTAAGTCGTATCGGTCCGGAAAAATCGCTGATGGTAATCGATTCCACAAGGAGGTCGTGCGAGGAAGAAAACATCTTCTAAATCGCACAGTGGTGGACCGCCAATCATCCAGATGGTGTGGATGGTATCGGGAGTTCTGCCGCGATGTGCGTTCGTGAAATTTGGCGGCTGGGATTAATCCGAACAATTCCTCAGAGCACTCCCCATGGTAGATGCGAAAGAAAATGCAAAGGGATGCAACATCTCTTCGCAGTGCCAATGAATCGAGCCGATCGGAAAGGGCTCGGTCGTCGACAATTCGAGCCGCTCTGCGTTGGATGCGGTCAAGTGGAAGGAGCTGGCACTGGGGAGCCCCTGCCCAGAGATGGGAACAGTATTCCATGTGAGGCCGAACTTGCGCCTTGTAAAGTAGCAGGCGGTGTGCCGGCATGAAATACTGTCCCGCTCTGCTGAGCACGCCAAGCTTTTTAGAGGCCAATTTGGCCTTCCCTTCCAAGTGACCACGAAACTGCACGTCACTCGATATGTCGACTCCGAGGATACCGATACTGGCTGAGGCAAGAAGGGGAGTGCCTTGAAACTGAGGAGATACGACAAAGGGGTTCTTTTTAGCGGTAAACGCGCAAACTTGTGTCTTCTGAGGATTAAATTGGACTAGATTTAGTCGCCCCCAATCCGAGACTTTGTTCAGCAAAGACTCGACTTCAGACACAAGTTTGTTCCGGTACTCAGCGACGTTTTCCCGAGAAAAATATGTCAACAATGTTAAGTCTTTTTGTAGCCTATTAATTTAAACAATATTTTTTTTATTTTTCATATTTATTTCTTCCGTCAACAACCCCAAAATCCCGACATTTTCACATTTTGTCCAGATATTTTGGCCATCCGATCTGGCAACCCTAGCCGCAAGTAAAGCAACAAAACTACGGTTCTTTAAATCAGTCTTCGAAATGAAAATATTAGCTAATCTACTCGACCAAAGATATTAATTTTGTAGAGACTAATATTTAATTCGTTGTGCACACGCTTGATGAGAAATTCCGAGTTGTACGATGTGTGGGTCGGACTGAAAATCAGTCGGTGTATTACTGAGGCATTTCGTGATTTTACGTTATGTATATTATAGAAAAATTGTTATTCTTGTTAAGCTTAAGATATACTCATGAGCTTGATTGTGTTGTTTTTTTTAATATTGTCATTATTATTTTTTGTTAATTAGTCTTAACTTATTTTGTGCTACGAATAAATGTGTTTTTCGTTCTTTCTAAATTTAATTTAAAATACATTTCTTTTTTTTTATAACGCAAAAAATTTTGTAAATTCTTTTGACCTATATGTTCGTGTGGAACTGTATTAGTATAGAATTAGTATATATTGAAATATTTTCTAGGTTCATTAAGCGACAAGAGAAAAACGACATTGTCTACGTTATAAACTAATTTCAAAATTTATGGACCAAAATGACTTATATTTACAATATATGTTGGTATAATACCAAAATATAAAATTAAATCTGAACCCGATAGAGCGCGCTATGTTAAAAGTACGGAATGAATTTGGAGTAAAGCTTATTGCGGAATCTGCCAGAAACAGCAGAACGTCTAAACAGCTAGTTTCTATAAAAAAAAAAATATCTGTAATGAGTAGATAAGAGATGTTTTCAACATACGAGTGAAAAAATTCAAACTTGTTCCACTGTTATACTAATAAATAGGCGTACAAGTTTGGCTGCGGTTGAATAAACGAATGTATTATTTCAGCTACGTACATCACCTTGACGAGAGGAACTAAACTCCTTTTGCTCAACGAATACACGTATTTCAAGAGTGGATACGTACGTGCCGGTGGATCTAGGTACAGCTGCTCCAGCGTACACAAAGGCTGTAAAGCGCATTTGCACATAAGCAAGGAGGATGTTATTACATTAGCGGTTACAGAACACTGTCATCCACCGAGTAAATATATACGAACGAAGTCTGGATTGTATATGAAAGTGTAAATTAGTTTAGAAATATAAATAAAACTTTATAAAAGTTGTGATTTATTTTATATTTCCACTTATCACATTGTTAAGAGCGATATATAATGAAAACGTAAAATCCAGAGTTTGCAGGCGTAATTTGTATAAAATGTAGATTCTATCTTATTGAATGAAACTAATGTTGCGGATTTTATTGCGTTGCGATTGCTTTGCAGCAACCATGTTCTTGGGTGATTCCTACGTCTTAAAACCAAAATAAAATATGCTTCATTCAGTTTTGTAGAAACGGGTCTTAGCAGGTAACTCAAAAACTATTAGTTAGACCTTGATCAATTTCTATATGAATATAGGACCACATGAGAAGCTCCAGCTTTCTAATAAAAAAAGAATCATTGAAATCGGTTTACCCAGAAAAAGTTATGAGGTAACAAACATAAAAAACATACAGTCGAACCGAGTACCTCCTCTTTTTTGAAGTCGGTAGAAAATTAAGTGGGCTTTCAGTTCAAAAATTAAAAAAAGTCTCATGGGAATATATTTGTGATATTTTCTATAGCTTTTACGTATTATTTTCTTAAAGTTGAGAGATAGGCCGGCTCTGAATTCTGTATTGAGACTAAAAGCAATATCCGACAAAAGTGCATAATGTTACTCGTATTGCACTTCGTGTTGCAAATAATAAGTTGTGTAGATGTGTGCATATAAGAGTGATAAAGAAATCTACGTAAATGCAGCAACGTATGGATGCCTGTAACTAACTTCATACAAAGAATCCATTGATGACAATGCATTCTTATCTTAACCTTTATTTTCCTAAGGATTAAGATAAAATGCTCTCAAAGCCTCTAAATCTAGAACTAAGTAGTGGGTGCACTGCCACTTGGAGTATCAATTCGGGTGCACTCCAAGAAGAAGAAGGAGCAGAACCGCCTAGTGACTTCATGATTTTGGGCACTGTTTTTTTTTACCTTCTCCGAAATGAGAGGAAGCCTGTGCCGTACATAGTCATTGTTAAATTGCACAAATAAACGGCAAAAGAAAATTTTATTTATTGAATAAAACTACTTTTACGGATTTTTTCGCGTTTAATTAACTTATTTATCTTATTGTTATTAATTCCCGACGTTTCGGGTGCTTTACAGCAGCCGTGGTCACGGGAGACTGAGGTGATTGACGTCCCGACACAGTAAGTTCATTCTGCGTAGATCGGACCAAAATTAATAAAAAAGTTGTCAATACTCCGGGTTAACTCTGACGTCGGGAATTAATAAAAATAACATAAGTTAATTAAACGCGAAAAAATCCGTAAAAGTAGTTTTATTCAATATGTAGTGTTCGCGTAAATATAAGAAATCAAAATTTTATTTTATTTATGATTGTCTCAAAGGGGGGGGGGGCTTCCAATAGTTGGCACTCTTGGCAGGCGGGTTGGCACTCTTGGCAGGCGGGTTGGCACCAGCAGTGTTTATTATTTTTTAGTGGATATCAGGAAATGCTGCTGCCTAGTATCAGTTTGAATCTATCGCCTCTTACAATATACACGGGATGATATTATGGGGTAGTTTATGTTCTTACACCGCCACTACACAGCAAATTATATATTCTTATGAATACAATAGAATATAATAGAATAATTTTTTGTGTTCATGTGCAATCTATATTGTATAAATTATACTCATGTAAAATCCAGCTTCTAATATATAAAATTAATATTTGTTTGTTCTTATTTTATACGCTGCCATATCGTTCATCGGATTGCACTAAATATTTGTCAACCAATGAATCAACTTATTGCTTGCACTTGCACGAAGGTTATAGGCACAGTACAAATAGATGGCGCGCGTATCGTACCGATTTCATTCAATTTCTTCCACTTCCAAAAAATCTTCCAAATTTAAAACGGTATTTCCATAATTATTTCCTCTACGGCAGCAACGCGCCGGGTAGTATTGAATAAAAATTAGGATTTGTGTAAAAGATTGTGAACATGTAATTCCTATTGAAATTATTTTTTTTCTTTACCATATTTTGTTATTATATTAACAAAATTTATTTTTATATATATATATATATATATATATATATATATATATATATGTATATATATATATATATATATATATATATATATATGATTTTCAGTATTCTTGTATATATCCGGATTTTTTTGCTGCATTACAATGAAATAAAGATCTTAGAAATTACGTTAAGAAATGCATACATTAAGAAATGTTTATTGCGGTAAACTTTCATTTCATAGCTTTGTTTATAGGATGAGGGTGAAATACGAACACACAGTCCACCTATTGGTATCTATGTGGTTGCTGTGGCCCATAGACATCTACATCTATCCTCGATTACGAATCAAAATGCAGATGCGTTGTTACCCGTGAGCACTAAGATGGAGTGCATCATTTCCACTAAAAAGGGTCTCCAGTTCTCTACACTCACCATACGAAACACAGCAGTGTTAAGCTGCTATTTTACGCTGGTATTCTGTGAGAGCGTATTCTTTCCCCGGTCGAACCGACCCGTTCGTGCTACAACTATACTACTAATATAGCTGCACCATGGCACTACCACGTATACACTTACTGATTTTGTTTGTGTCCTTCAATACTTTTAGTATAATTAGTTATCTTGAGGTGTCTTAAATTTTTTATATTTTTTTTATGTAGTTCATAGCCTCCAACTTCCATACCCTTATTTATTCCACTTCTTCATTTACAAACTTATATTTAAATATATTTATCTAATTTGTCTCAACTTACTGTTTAAAACTATAAATTGTGATCGTGATTCCAACTCTCATAAAATAAACGACAAAATCTGCGCAACACAGCGAGGCATCGCGCTTAACCTTTTTTCTTTTTGGAATGTTGCATAAGTGAATAAATGTTTCTTTCTTTCTTTCTTTCCTTTTTTTTTAAATTATTGTATTATTTTTAATTATATACAATATTGTCTACTTCTGAAATATTAATTCTGAAAAACATTTAATCAATGAAGTTTTTTTTAATCTACTTAAAAATGTTTAATTTATTACATCGTTAACTTGTTTCCAGTTCAAATTATACGCCTAGCGTCAGGAAAAAATCTGCTCATGAGCGAAGGATTCACGTTCCATAGAAATGGTGCGAAGAGAAAGGGTGGTGTGAGATGGCTTTGTTCCAATCAGAAAAAGGGATGCCACGTTTCCATGATCTTTAATGAAGAATCGGGGAGGGTGTTGAAAATATCTGGAAAACATGCCCACGAACCTCCGGAATACGTACGGTTTGGTGATGTCCATGTAAAAGTATAATAATTTACTATATTATATTATGTTAAAAATATTAAAAATTTGTTTTTTATAAATGTCGTAGCATTCGTGCCGTGTAATGATTACGTAAGTCACCTCATAGCAGAAGGTGAAGGTCGTCAAAAGCAACTTAGCAATGCCCAAAAGATCAAAATTGTGTGACGTCTGGTATTGCGTAGAGAAGTTGGCGAAGTTGGTTTATCCCTGCTATGAGAAGAGCTCATGTCCAGCGGTATCCTATCGATAATCAGAAATTTATCAGTTTTGTGAACCGCTTTTAAAAGGTTCATATAAAACTAACTTTTACAAAACAAAGGCCGGCCATCAGGTGAGTCGCCGGCTCGTTCGTCCCACTATAAAAAAATATTTAACATGTTCGCGGAAGAGCATACTTTCAGCTTAGGGCCTCAATAGAGAGCCTTTGACTAAGCGTGCCTGGTGTCAAACCGGACACATGTATTGTAATGAAGTGTCCTAAGTAGCTTGTCACTCTATAGTTCGGCAGTGATTTAGAAACAGATGATGAATCCATTACTAATAACTAATAAATAAATATTTATATAATTATAATAATGTCTTGTCATCGATTGGATCTTGTTCTGTGTATCTCCATGACTTACGAATTGGGGATTCTTTTTGTTTGTCCATGCCGAGATAACGGTTGGTACATATTATATTATATATTATACATCTCCTAGGCTGAATTTAATATGTAGGAGAATCAGAGTCTTCAAAGAAAATTTGGTGAATTTGTATTATAACTGCAGCACGAATGACAGGATAATGCTAATGTATTTCGCAGGGTGAGTGAGGTGGGGAGACCTTCGTTAATAGTTTTTACTGTCTATATATAAAGACATTCAATATTAGTCGTTAATAATGAAAACTTTCTTTATTTTGGTTTATAGTCGATGATATATTTAAGTGTCTATGGACCAGTAGCATCCATATACCATCAGGTGGACTCGTTTGCCACCCTTGTGTATAGAAGCAACGTAGCTCCTTTACAAAAGTATAGTTTTGATTTAGCCCTATAATACAAATTATCTTTTAACTTTGAAGGGCTTCATAAAATTGTTATTTTAGATTAACTACAGTCAAACCAAATAAATATAATTATTATTTAAATATAACTATTGTTATTGACAGCGTTTATCCATTAATTTTTTGCTAGAAAATGGCCGTGATGATGATTCTCTTAATTTTCTAACCAAGCAAGACTCATGTATAATGTATATTATGTGCTCTCTCGCCTCCTTTACATCCATATATCTACGCATACACGCTTGTCGGTTAAGGGTACTCCTAATCTGGCCCATTTTCAATATATCGCCGATTTGATCGATAAATCTTCGTCTAGGGCGTCCCTTCCCGACTCTGCCGTTCACTTCTGAAACATAAATTTGCTTTGTCACTATTTCCTCGTTCATTCTTTCTGCATTCCTTTTTTAATCCTGGTCACAACGTCATCTTGCAAAATAATAAGTAACACTAATATTAATACTAATCTAGTTTCAACTCAAATTTCACAATGCCAAAGTCCTAGAGTCTAGACCATATATTGCACAAATTTTTACATAGTCATCTCGAGATTGTCTGTGAAATTATCAAAACTATCGCCATGTAAGAGAACCGTGTTCTTTTCACTACTTTTCATTTATAACTACCCTTTCTTATTCTTATATAACACTTATAATTAAATTATTATATACAACAT